CCTCGCGCTGGCAGCACTTCCTCGTCCTCGAGGCGGTCCCAGGCCTGCCCTCCGGGGAAGGAAAGCGCAGGAGTGAGAGGAGGGTGGGAAGGAGGGCGAGTCATGCCGTCTTCACCCCCATGCTGCCTCCCTCGGGTCTTCTCTGCCTCCCTCCCAGAGCCCGAGTAAGGTCTACCTCCCACCTCCATTTGCCCTTCCAAGTCCCACATTGACACCCATTCCTCCCCGAAAAAGCCCAGCAGACCACACGCAGAAACCGGCCAGGGCGACAGAGAGGGGGAAACGGAGAAAGGGAAGGAGGGGGGGATGAGGTACTTTACCGATGCCATGTCCTTGAAAGACATTCGTTGAGCGGGGTCGGCGTGCCAGGCGCGTTCCATCAGCTCCAGGACCGCAGGGGGTTGGGCCTCGACCTGGCCAAGGGAGGGAGGGAGGGAGGGAGGGAGGGGAGATGAGATGGGCTGGGACAGAGAGGTCACCGGATCTGTGATGATCGCACGAGCGAGTGATTTCGAAAGGACATGGGAAGGAAGGAGGGAGGGAAGGAGGGAGGGCGGGGCCCGACCTCGGCAAGGGGGGGACGCAAGCCTTCTGCTTGTTGAAAGGCCGCGGAGCGAGGGTTGAGTGTGGCAAAGGGGTACTTGCGGGTGAAAAGCTCCCACAGAAGAATGCCTACAACACGGAAAGGAAGGGGGGAGAGAGGGGGAGGGAAGGCGACCTTGTGAGCCAGTGGGAATTGGAGAGGAGAGAAGAAGGAAGCGGGGTAGGAGCAGGAACGCCTTGGCTGCATCGGGGAGCCGGTGGGAATGAAAGGGAGGGAAGGAAGGAAGGAGAAAGAGGGGGAGTGGACGATACCGTAGGAGTAGCAGTCTGCCTTTTCGGTGTATTGCTGGCCTCGAAAGACCTCTGGCGCCAGGTAGTACGCATTCCCCGTGCATTGCGTCATGAAGCTGGGAGGGAGGGGAATAAGACGGGAGAAGGGGGGGGGAGCGTGAAGATGAGGGAACGAGAGGGAGAGAGACAGAAAGAGAAATTGGTGTGGAATAGTATGGGAGGGCGAGTTGAAACAGAAAGGAGAGAGGGAGGGAGGGAGGGAGGGAAGGAGGGAGAAAAAAGGCGAGGGACGTACCGCTCCACGGATCGGGAAAGGCCGAAATCGCTCAGCTTGGCAACGGGCTCACTGCGGCCCTCTTCCACGATCTGCCAAGAGACCATTGCAAGGGAGGGAGGGAGGGA